TTTCTCCCCTAGCAGGTCTCCGTAGATCGTAGTTCCTGCTGGACCCTGGTCCTGACACCTGCCGTGGCCCTGCTGACACCTGCTGCTGCAATCATCATCATTATTATATGAAATATTAATAATATTACTGTAATCATAAACCAACATTACCCTCTCCTAAAGTCTTTGTGCTCTCCCTCCCCACAGGCTTCTGTGGATGGTGGTTCTATCTGATGGTGGTTGCCCTTGCAGTGGTCCTGCTGTGCGCCTGGCTTACTACTCACAATTAATTAATCATTTCTGTCATAAGGAATTGAATATATTATACATTGTTCATTCTGTACACATGGCATCCATTGTAGTCTGTCCATCCCGGGAGTGGGATCCCTCCTCTGATGTTCTCCCCAAGGTTTATTCCCTTTTTTTTCATTTTTTGGGGAGTTTTTCCTGTGCCGATGTGTGGGTTTCGGGACAGAGGATGACGTATGTGTACAGACTGTAAAGCCCTCTGAGGCAAATTTGTAATTTTGGGCTATACAAAATAAAATTAATTGAAAGACTTCGAGTCTTTTACTGCAACACTCCACGTTTACGAACGGCAAATCTCACTAACTTTTCAATTCTGTCCCATTTGTCCTTCTGCGTCAGCGAAGCCTCAGGTGGGGGAAATACTAATAACGTCAGGCTGGGTGTGTCGGCATTAGCTAGTGACCACGGGTCAGCTTAGCTCATCTTCCCGTGCCATGTCAGCCGCATATACTTCTCTCTCGCACCCGCACACACATCCACACCCTCTGACAGAAACACTTAACGGTGGTTAAAAGAAAATGTTGTTCAATCACCAGAGTAAGTTGTTCACACAGTTGTTCTTGGAAGGGCACATGTTGTACAGTAGGTGTGTAACCTACTCAACAGGAACCTGCCGGTCTATTTCTGTTCTGTGGTGTCCCCGACCCGCCCTGAAGCGCCATGGAAAACACAACAGGATGGGTTCACATCTCTCTGTCCCAACGTTGTGGCAACACATTTTTTTCTTTTTTCCAGCTATATAAAATGTTTTGCGCGCCAAAGCACCCAAAACAATCAAATCGATAAATATACAAACAGACGTTAACTACGTTAAAATATTTTGCCACATTAATCGCATAGATGCATGCATATATGCTGCAGGTTAGATTGTGATGTGATGTCTCAATGCAGCAACGGCTCCCGTGAAATGCTCAATTCCATGGTTAGTACCATTTTTGTTATATATTTTTTGTAATATCAGGGTGTTCTAATGGATGTGGTTGTATATGAACTACAGGGGGGGGCGATGTATTGTCAAAATGAATAGACACAGGTGTGTTTTTCATCCGCAAGCAATCACAAACCTCATTCCCCCAAATAATCCATCCCACACAACGAGATAACCATCAGGTCCAAATGTGGCCAAGCTGGCACCACTTGAACAGTACTTAGCTGTTCTGACTGAAACTCCATCAAATAACAATAAAATAAACCGGAATACCAATTGGAGCTACAAACGCACACATTAATATGCAGCACAATGGTTTGCGGTTTACTTTCTAAAAGAGTGTGGTTTGTTTAGTTGAAGGTAAATACTGTAAATATATACATGTCTGGTGTATATATTCATATTTTATGAAAAAATGTTTTATATACTTGAATGATGTTTGTCAATGTACTTATGATTGATTTTTGATGCATATCTGGAAAGTTAATTAAAAAATATGATCACAAAAAAAAAAGGAACTTTTGTCAGCACCTGAAGTAGGATTTATTTCCCATTGAGTCGTGAGATGTGAAGGTGATTCACACTTAAACCTATTTGAGGAAGCCAACACACGGTACAGGGTTCTTACTTGATGAGAGCGGTCCTGGGTGTGTCAAGCTGATCGTCGCTTGGAGGGGCGTTGGAGGAAGATGGAGGAAGGGTCGAGGTACGCAGGGACGGCGGGAGGACGGAGGCGGGGGGAGGGGTCTGGCTCCTCCGCTTCTTGCCACTTCGTAGAAGACGGAGGGACTTGCCGCTGACGAGGCTGTGGTTGCTACGGCGACCGGCCACCTTGCTTAAAGGTCCCGTGCTTGTCCTATTGAGATTCGGTTCTGAGCTGGAAACAAAATCACGTAGAGTTTAAACGAAGTTCCCGATGGATGTTTTATTAATTATTAACAGTTTTCAATAAGGAAAAACAGCAAAGGATTGTTGGATGACCTTATCCGTAATGGTGGAGTAGTGGGAGGTCCACAGACGTTTGGGAAAACAATATTAAAAACATGTCAGTAATAAATAATATAATTGCCAAGATTGTAGATTTGGAGGTAAATGATTGCAGGTCTTTATGCGATTCTAAACCTGAAACTGCAATAGTCCTGTTTAAAGAAAAAAAAAAAAGACCAACAACAACAACATCCCAGACCGATTTGGGGTCGCAACCTGGCTGTCAGCTGTACAACTGTCCGGGTCCAGAGGCAACCTCAGCGCCACCCAGTCTATAGAGTCCTCACACACAACAGAAATATGTAAACTGCACACTTGAAGAGAGAAGTGGCGAAGGAATGAGCCATCAAATGTCCAAATCTTTCCTGTGACGTGTTTAGGTCAGATGTGACACAGTAAACAATGCTGATTTCTCATCATTCATTTGTATTTCTCATAATAAAAAGCAACAATATCAATAAATGTCTGGGCCATCTAATTTGCTGCTTTTTAAAATATAGACTCAAGTTAGTTGATCATTGAATAACCGCACAGCGGAGGAGAGCAGGAAGAATGCCACAGAGGAGCATGCAGCATTCTTGCTATTGTCTGAGAGCTCACCCCTGCAGCCCGCCGCGGGCCGCGTCTACCGGTGTCCTCACAAATTCAACATGTCCAACTATAATTTGAGTGGGAACAAAGACGTGGAGCGAGAGACATGTCACATGGCCATGACACAATGTCACGTGACCGTGGTATTTAAGCAGTGTGATCCCTGAGGCTAACAGAGGGCAGCAAGTTTTGAGTTTTGACCCCCTACAAAGCAGAATCCTCAGAGCCAGGCTCTGTCCTTGAGGCTCAGAGTGGCAGCCAGCTTGCTTTACTCAAGTCAGTCGTTAAGAGTATTAGTTAGACCCAGTTGGTTTGTTTGCACATTTCTCCTGTTCTGCTTTCTATGCTGTAATACTATATTGTAAAAATAAAAACTATCAATTTTGAACGAGATTCCTGAATTTGGAGATGAATGAATCTGGTTTCTAGACTTGCTGGATAATAATGAGTCATTCAGTGCAAGAGTTCCCTTTGTCATGAAATCTTTGAGAACGTGTCACTGAGATGTCCCTGACATTTAGTAAAAGCTTCACCCTTAAACTTGTGAAAATGGAACAGTGATTTGTGGGGGATCGCCCCTCCTCTTCTACGTTATCACTTACCATCTAACCACTGTCCTCCAGCAGTGCTGCTTCCTCTGAGAGCACCAGGGGCTAAATATTTTAGTGATCACTGCGGCTCTTTCCACAAAGCTGGCCAAAGCCACGATGAACGTTTGCATAACAGAAACTTAGGTCGGATGATTACAAAAAGTAATCTTCTTAACAGATAAAACCAGTAACATTAAGCGTTCTATGTCTGAAAAGGGTTTACGACTGACACGTAAAGTTAAAACTGGCTCCTGTCTTTTCCAGTGGAATGAAAACTACATTCCCAATTTAAATCCTGTGTCAATTGTTCACCTATCTCTTGTATATGTCATTGGTATATGTGGGTGGGAGCGGAGGCCCGAGTGTTCTGCTGCAGTGAGACCGATCTCTACCACGTTCTCCCCAGAATCAAGCTAAGCCCTCCCACTTTTTAGCAGTCCAATCAAATGTGAAAGATTTTATTGAACTGACTAAACCACGCTAAAATACATCATCAAGAGGCTTTGACTTCTGGTCCTCCTTTCCTCTCGCATTGCACATGGAGCCTGTTGCTTCGGTCTCCTTGTTTGTTGGTTTTTAATCTTCTTAATAACATTGTTTTGATCATCTGGCAAACAGCGTTGTACTCTTTCGTCCTTCACAACTAATTTGATCCGACTACTACTATAATCCTTTTGGTGACCCCGGTGACCTGCAGCGTGGTTAAAACAAACCTGAACCGCTAAACACCAAGACTTAGCCCGCTAGGAATGACAAGTATGCTTGAAACGCACACAGACTCGCACACACATAACACGAAAGTGACAGCCTTTTGTTTTAAGCCGTGTGCTTGTCAGAGGGAGGAAAACATTAGAATGAGAGGATTAGAGGAATATTGTGACATTCTAAGTGCTGCTGAAGGACCAGTGTGGTCTTACTAAGGGAAAACAATACCTTAAAACGGGGTGGAATAGTGCAAAGTTAATGCAAGCGAGTTCCCTTAACGATGCAGACAACACGCAAAGAATAGCAGCAGGAAATATGTAGTCTTCACCACAGTTTGAGACTATTACATGAACATGCTTTTTGTCTACGCACAAGTCTGAATTCCATTCAATGAATAATTTAGATATTCTAATGAGTGGTTTCTGTTGTAATGTATTTATTCTATTAAAAGTAAAAGCCTAAATTTGGCTAAGATTAAGAAGTTAAAAGTAAAAAGTTTTACGCAGCCATGCCAGTGAACATCCTCCTTGCTCCTTCCTCTTCGCCGAAATACCAGACACACACACACAGGATTACCAAGACACAAAAACTAGGGCTCTAATAGGGAATTTGGGCAATGGTGCAGAAAGAACAAAGAAAGGAGAAAAAAAGCAAACGGTTATATATATGATGCTGCCACTCGTAGTAAATGAATGACATAATGGGCTAACTGTGGAGCTACTGTAGTGTGCCTTTGTTATTGTACCCACCCAAAGATCAGAAAGTGGAATAGACAACGAGCAGAAACATGCTAGGATTTACATTAGGAGGTCCACGGTGGAAGGTAAACGAAACAAACCCCTGGGGAAAGAGCTGACGTGCACAAGCGCGTGCTACTCTTTTGTTGCTATTGTTTAACTTCTGTCTTCACCTGTCACTTCTTCCGGCTGCATCTGGCACAGCGACATCGTCGCCGCTCCCCTGCACCACTGGCTGCTGAGCAACGCCTCTCTGCTGGCTTCGCCTTCGTGATCTGGTCTGGAAGAGGAAACCAAGAGGAAGTCAGTGCTGACCAGCAGGGGGCGACTCTTCTGATTGTATAGAAGTGTATGAAAAAATTACAGTCAGTACATTGTAAACATGAGTTCATGGTCTCAATCTCTAGTTTAAAGTCTTCTTCATTAAATTATATTAATTAAGTAATTATGGCCAATTTAGAGTAAGATAGACCATAAAGCATGGTATGCTGGGTTGCATAATGATTGACATGTTGTTCAATACAGGTTCTCTATGCCACTCCCCATATTTAATGCCATCAGTTGCAAAAAAGCGAAGACTGGGACAGCCCTAAACCAAGATGCCGACGGCCAAATTGGCGAAGGCTTCAAAACAGGAGTCCACAAACCGATGGACGTCGTCTCAATGACCCACAGATAAATCTGACCATGAATCAGCCGAACCTTGGAGTGAAGAGGAATGTCTGGGGTTGCTCCTGAGCCACAGCCCCCACCCTCCTGGGTCTGTGTGGTTAACCAGTACCTACCAGGTGCTGCTGAAAGATTGTGTGTTAATGAGTTTTTGTATTTAGCCCCATTTGTGTGTGTGTGTGTGTGTGTGTGTGTGTGTGTGTGTGTAATTGTAATTGTCTAGGTTTTGCTGGCTTGAAACTGAATATAAATTCAAATACTGAAATGTATCAGTCAAACATATTACTGATTGACCTCCACCAGCCAGCTACTGTGCTGGCAGACATTCAGAAGACATTCAGAAAAATCTTGCAATCAAATTGTGTGAAAGGTCAACTCAGCAAGACCAGAGGTAAGCTATGTTGTGTCTAAAGCGCGCAGTCTGGTTTGAGCAGAAGGATTTGGCATCAGAATGACGCTGACTAAACAGAGACTGTCCTTTGTTCCAGACTTCCAGACCGCTGCTAGATCATAGTGGGTCCAGATTTCTTTCAATGGCTAAAAGAAAAGCCTACTTACTGTCTAGTGAGGAGAGTCTGAGAGGAGTCTCCGGACAGTAGCCCACAGAGATCTACCTTACTCAGACACGCAGTTGGATTGTGTAAAATGCATATGCATATTATGAACCAACATTAAGAGCTTCCTTGTACTGGCACACAGTCCTGGGTCTCTCAAGGACAGAGAGAAAAGCTACAGGCAAAAGGTGTGGAGGACACAAGCGTGGGGTTAGTGGAGTATAATTAGCACGGTTATGGTGATTAATCATCATGCAGCTGTGCCAACCACATCAATCCCCAAATAAGGAGGTGAGCGCATGTCCCTGCTAAGCCCCCACGGCAAGGAAGCAATAGTATTTGGTGTATTGTAAAAAGACAAAGATCCTTCAGTGCAGACCTAGCAAGCTAAACAATAATAATTTGTTAGTGAAACAAACAGCTTTACCTGGGACTGCCCTCTGAAGATTTAGGCTATGGCTATAACAACTTCATAGGATGAAATCTGTAAGAGAAATATTTAATGTGCAGGGTTCTGAATCTAAAAATCTAAAAAATGAAAATAAATGAAAATTGACCCGTGGTTCAATAAAAATCTGTGATTGCTGATGAAAACCAGAGATGATGCACTAAGGCCTCCTTGTTTATAGGTTGGGGAAACACTGGTCACTCATGATCTTTTATTATTGGAACCCTCTAAATTTTCATCTAACCCAGGATTCAATTGGTGACGCACTGTCCAGAAACATAGAACAAGGTTCAGCGTTTGGACTCTTATTGTTTAGTTTAAATATTAACGATCAACGAAAAGAAACTGTCCCTGTCTGGATGCTGCAAAGATATTGTAGCGACCCTGTTCAGCAGTGTGTTCCGTACGGTGTCACGTCATTCCTCTCACGCTGGCCAATCAGGGGGAGTTGCGGTTCAGGCTAGACAGGGGGTGGCCAGTGATAGGGGGAGACGGTGGGAGGCGGGTGTTCCCGTGTTTTGGGGGGGCTAGTCAGGTTTGCTAGAAGAGTTCTATATTGTTGTTGTTGCTGTCTGCGAGTATCGAGGGAGTCTGTGGGTGTCTGTTATCTGCTGCTGGAGAAACAAATAAAGGATTCCTACCAGAACGTCCATTCACCTGCGTGTGCTGAATGACCCACTACACCCAGACGCTACAATATTTATGAACGCCATGATGCTTTCCCATATGTCGGCGGCTGGTGAAACAAGACCACTGGAATCCTTAAACAAACAAACTCTTAAAATTTGGACAAAAAGCTGTTACACGGCACAAGAGAAATACAAATTTGTGCATGGTCTATACCAGCGGTTCCCAAACTCAAGAATGCCGCGGCCCACTTTGAAATCTGAAAATCTTTCGCGGCCCACCCAAATGTTTGATCACAACTCTGATCAAAACATGATGATTAAATGACCTTAAGAATTTAACCAAAATCAAACATCCGCGAGCAAAAGTCAGTCTCCGCGAGGTATTTGCTCGCTTGTGAAACGTGAACTTCGTTGCTCCCGTTGTTCAATAAGTTCTATTAGATCATCCAAAAAATACAGGGACTGCACCATCCAATGTTGACGCACTGGATTTGGTCAATAATTTTTTTATGTAAAAATCAGTGGAACACACTGAAGAGCTGTAGCTCTTTCAGCATTTTTAAAAATTGCTTAGAAGAAATCAACACTGCTCATGACTGATTAATTACAAAGATTTTGTTTTTTACTACTTACTTTTAATATGCTACTCTGTTGTGTGTTCTTTTCACCACTTATATGTTTGTTTTATGTTTTTCCCAAACAGTCCAAAGACATGCTCTGGGGATTAGGTTAATTAGGGACTCTGAATTTAGGCCCGTAGGTGTGTGAATATGAGCGTGAATGGTTGGTTAGTCTCTGTGTTTGGATTGGCTGGTGACCAGTCCAAGGTGTAACCCGTCTCCCGCGGCCCTTTATGTAGGATAAGCATTTTGAAGATGGATGGATGGATGAAATAAATTAATAAACAAACAAAGGACAGTTCAATATATAGGGAAATACAAGGATTCCCTTTCTTCCAGTTAACTCAGCTTGGCAAAGAAGACTAAGAAATAAAGCTAACTAAATATTAAGTGTAAAAACGAGTTGCAGTTAAATTAAATTATACTTGCCAGAATATTTGTGTCAATCTCAGGGTGACAGAGGAGCATCAGGAAAAGTATATTGTCTGGCACCAGGCTAGGCTAAGCGGTTGCTAACTGCAGCCTTGTACTGAATGTGTATGTTTGGGTACATGACAGTACTAATATTTCTCATCTAATTCTAGACATTTCTAGAAGAAATATGTATGTTTTCCAAAATGTCAAACTATTGTTTTAAGATAGTGAAAAAAAGACTCGACATCCTAAATGGTAAATGGACTTACTTGTATAGCGCTTTTCTAGTCTTCAGACCACTCAAAACGTTTTAACACTACATGTCATCATTCACACCCATTCATACACCGATGACAGGAGCAAACATACACAGTGACACCTGCCCATTCACACACTGTGGTCGCAGCTACAGGAGCAACGTTGGGTTAAGTGTCTTGCCCAAGGACACATCGACATGCGGGTTAGCCAGGCCCGGGATCAAACCGCCAACCCTCTGGTCGTCCCTAACAATTGTGCAAGATAAAGATCATGTTTCTTTTTTTCAATCAATGTTCTTAACTGTTTTTGAATCTCCTGGCTTTATGTTTGGATAAATGTGAAGCACATTGAATGGCCTTGTTGAAATGTGATATACAAAAGACCTTGCATTACCCATAGGATTGCTTAAATCCAACATCATCAGTCGTAACTTTCCTCTGGCGGATTGTAGTTGGACAGAAATAAAAGAAAAAAGTCACAATCCTTCCAAGAGAGGGTAATAGAAATCAGTTACTTTTGAAAACAACTAAACTGGTTTTATTTTTTTAAAAGCTATTGAGACAATGCTCAATGGTGGACGGGTCACATGCCCTGATTACCACGGAGCTCTACCTGACTTTGTGTGAGGGAAGAGCCGGTCCGACTCCGGAAGACTCGCGCAGGTGCAGGACTGCGCTGTCTGGTCCTGGCCTGTGTTTGAGCCCCCTGCCCCTCAGTCCTCTGTCTACCCCTCTGGTCGGCCAGGTAGCGCTGGGCCAGGCGCATCACGCGGGTCAGTACACTTTTAGCCCCGGAGACCGATTCTGTGGGTCAAAAAACCAAAGGGTAAAAAATCAAAGCGTTTCTTCTGCTGAGACAAGGCCTATAAAGTCGTCAATCTTATTATAATATGCATACCACCCCCTTGTGTCTGTGTGTGCGTGTGTTCTGGTCTGTGAACGTGTCGTTGTTGTACATAAATTAGTGTTATCAGTGGCTCACCATGTTTACTCAGGGGGCAGAATCGGCCTGCTTTGGCAGGCCGTGAACACAAAGACCAACTTACGCAACGTCTGTGTGCACTCAACAGCCGAGGCAGTACGTCATGTTTCACAACACAAGGAGAGAGAGGGATAGCAGAGTTTTAATGGGGGTTGCTTTTTCCATCTTACCAACACGACTAATCTGACTCCAACACTGATTTAGCATCAGTAAGATTGTCGCTAACTTCATTGTGGGAACTTCCCTTTCCAAAGTTTGGAATGAGGAATGTTTATTCGTACAGGGTCAATGAATCTAAATGGACTCTAGAAATAAAAAAGTCCCCTACCTGAGCAACCTAAAGATGGCAAAAAAGAGGTGCCGAGGTGACTGAGCAGAGGCTATACGGTACGTTTGGTGAGGGGTGATTAAGTGCGGAAGCAGAACTTGAAGCCTCGGGTTATCGTATTGTTTTAGGCTTTTCAGTCTTTCAGTTAGCCAATGACGAGCTACTCAGTTCAAATATTACAGAGACTCGTCTTAACGCACTGTTATGCAGGCTTGTACTCGTTACCTTGTTCTATTCAAAGCAGCTCTGCGTCATAACCGCTGTCCTGATTGTGATTCAGTACCATTGACTTCTCATTGCCCTGTGTTGGCTACAGCATACCGCAGTCGGGATAAGATATATGTCTTAAGATACATATACATGGGAGGTCTGAATGTGTTGCAGAGACTCAGGTTGTCCCAGTACACCGGAAAGGAACAAAACACAGGATCCACGTGCAGAGGCATAGCACGAAACAAACTCACCCTTTTCAGCGGTCTTTTCTCCTTCCTGTACGTTTTCATTTTCTTTACCTCCACTGGCTTGGGCTGAGGGTGTGACCTTCTGTTCCTGACACTGTCCTGAGAGAGAGAGAGAGAGAGAGAGAGCACCACATTTAAACACATCGGGTGACATTAGCTACCACCATTGCACGCTAAAATCCTCCATACTTTTTTAACGACAGGTTTAATGTGGTTAATGTAGATGCAAGGTTTTGACAACAAAAAAGACCACATGTAATCTTATTTCTGAGACAAAGTATTTGAAGTTACCGCAAAAACACATAACATCAGACCCAATGTAATTAACTACTACTAACTACTAAAAAGGGACCAATAATGAGATAATTGGAAATTCCTATTTAGTTATCGTTTGTGCTTTTCTTCTGTGCTATCAGGTTGGGTTCAAAGTTAACATGTAAGCTTCAACTACCTCATGATAGAATATGCTGGTTTCATTTATATTTTTTCAGCTAGTTTCCTGCGGTTTAGTGAAAAATTGGTTTTGTGCTTGGACTCCTAAAGTTGTCAGAAGTGGCTTTGTGTCTAGTTTGCACCTATTTAAGGACTTTTATTCGACAATGGCCAACACTCAGCTTTTATTTTACGCACTGCAGGAAAGCAGACTATCAGGAAGTTCTAATCAATTATGTACAGTTGACAGTTACTTAAGTAACAGTTCAATTAATTAACCAATGGAGAAAAAGTTTAGTTTTTTAAATTTAAGTCCACGTCCATTAGCGTTCAAATCAGATTAACGAGCAAGACTCAAGTCCCTGCACCGGAGACACAGCAGCGTCAATGTGTTGAATTCACTAGGCCGAGATGTCAGTCAGCATGCAGGTTTGTGTCCAGTGGGAGGCGGCTTCTAATTAGTTACGGCGCATATCGCTGTTGTAACACGAGCTTCTGCCAAACAGGAAGTGCCGCGTATAAAAGTGTGGCGTCTCCCGGGGCTAATGGAGGTCCTGAGTGGGGTTATCTATGATGTTAAAACAACGCCATTTCCCAGACGCACCTTCCCATGACCCTTTTCCTTCCTCCCTCCTCTCCGACTCGGCCTCATGTCCTCTCCCTCCTTCCCTCCCTCCCTCCATCCATCTGATCCATCTCAATCACTGTCAGACGCCAGCAACGGAGAGCTTCCCACAGCAAACTCCCGGAAGAAAACCTGGCGTGTCACAGCGTGTTTCCCGTTAGCCACCCACAGACCAACACATACCATAGAGAGGTACTGTAGGTACAACAGTGGGTTCTCTCCCCTGTTGACGTGTCTCTTCTGAATTCAAAACCTCTCTGAAGACGTGATCACATAAGACTTAACATTACAGTCATACATGTTTTTCCTGGAGCCAAAATAGTTGCACACAAACACCTTATGGATGCATAAACACTGGTGAGTTCACCCCTACAGTCTCTCTATGACTATGAAAAGGTCTGAATGACTATTTTCTCATTCTGTGTCTGAGTTTCATTTGATGCGGCCTATTTGACCTTCTTACCTGCCTTTTGGTTAAACAACGTTGAAGCGTAGTATTTTGGTGAGCATGGAAACTAAATCTCCTGTTTTGCTCTCATTTACCTTTACATTTTAGAGCTTACAGGCTTTAACTAACACGGTCGCCCTAACTTTGAACAGACAAAAGTTGTGTGCCCAAATGGATTCATCTTGGATGCCGTTTGGCCTTCATCTACCGGATAATAGCTTGTTGCAGATGTTGTTCCTTCACTGAAGTCAACTGCGGGTTTGAAAAGACAAATTTAAAATGTCTTTAGCGCTAGTAGTATAGGCCGGATAGCTAAAAATAACAAATGTGCGTTATGACAGCTTTAGTCCTTTGGATTTATAAAACAGAAAAGCAGGACTCAGCTGTAGACGGAAAATCAAAGAAGTCCAACAAAAGAAGAGTCTCAGCTGCTCACTTTATAAATTTGATGCCAAAATAAAGGTTAAGCCCCACACTATAATGATAGCTGACAAACACACACACACACACACACACACACACACACACACACACACACACACACACACACACACTAATAAGAGGGCTAAAGACGTTGGCAAAGCTACCCTAAATCCATATCGGCAGGTGTAAATTCTTAGCAGAGTCCCAGGGTGTAGCATCCATTGCAACAAAAGTTATTTGTCTTTTCCCAGAGAATGCCACAATCTACCCGCAAATTACCACACAACGGTATATTTATCCCAACAAACAAATGTCAAATAAAGCCAATATCAGGGTTACTGCTTTTTAATTCTTCGGTTAAAAAAAAAAGATAAATCGAAAGATAGGCGTGGAAATAGAATTGCAGCCAAGCGGGGATACGAGTCTGCTCATCATCGGCAGTGATGCCGTGGTTGAACCTGCTCGCGGTGGTGAAGAAAGCATTAAGCTGGGGGGTGAAGCTCTCCATCCACCTGGTGACCATCACCTGCGTTGTGGCACGGGGCAGTTTATGGGACAAGGAGCTCGGAGTGAAGCCGCTGCTCCTTTCTCATCTTAAAGGGCCACCTCAGGTGGTTTGTGCCTCTGATCCGGAACCCCCCCAGGACGGACGTGTCTGGAGGTTATCGGGCACGTCCAACAGGTAAGTGTCAACAAAAAAGACCCAGAAAACACTATAGGGATCATCTATCTTGTCTGGACTGGGAGCACCTCAGGGCCCCCAAGGAAGAGCTGGAAAACATTGATTGGGAGAGGAACTTCTTAAATACAGTTTAAAGCCTGCTGCCCCCGCAACCATGATCCAGGATAAGTAGAAAAGACTATAGATGGATGGAAGTGAAATGTGAGCTGCTGGAATAGACACATATGTAATCCCGGTTCTATAATATCTGGGAGACTAATGGTGGTTTATTAATCAATTATCTTGGGATTATTGGAGATCAAAGGGATCCAGTGGGTTTCTGTTAATTAAGGGGGCTGGTTCAGGCTGAGTGTTACGATTCTCTTTCAGCAACCCAACTTTTATTGTTATACAAATTGAAGTGAAAAGCATTGTTGCAAAGGGGGCCCCATAAGCACCGTGTACAAAATGCGCTCTAAATATTTTACCAAGTCCTATATATTGTAGAGAGGGCAAGGGTCACATTTGTGTTATCTAGTCAAAGTGATCATTTCAGCCGCGCAAACCTGTGTACAGTATGCTCACAGGCTGGCACGCAGATATATGAAAACAGATGGTATGGCACGAATAGTGACGAGGTCATTTAAGCTATTAAATTAAAGCATACTGTCCAAATCACACCTCCACAACAACAGAGAACGTCAGTGTAGGTGAGCTCAGCGCCGGGGTTTTCTCTATGACTCAGGGGTATAATGACAAGGTAGGAATGACAGTGTGTGTTTTTCTCCACCACACTCTCTCTCTCCATCTTTCTCTCTCGCTCCCTCAAAGTCAGTTTCAGATGACAGAGCGCGCTGCTGATTCCTCAGTTTCCTGGAATTAACGCTGACAACACGGAGCCTTTTGAAGGTTGTTTTGTGCCGTCCTCTGGGAGTCAGAGGGGCGAGCGCACCTGTGGCTACGATTGAATTAGTACGACACCGGGCACAGAACACCCCGTGGCATAGGAGGTCCCAGACGCTAGAGTGATACAAAAGCTTTGATGTGCTGATCATTGATGGGGGGTAGAGGGGGTGGGGGTAGACCGAGACAGCGCTAAGTTGAAACCTAGTATCATTACATTACATGTCATTTAGCTGACAACAGTTGTTGATAGTTGTAAATGTATTAATAGTAGTATTGGTAGACCAATAAAAGTAGAATAACTACTAGTAACAACAAGTAATAGATGTATTAGTAGCAATAGAAGTAGTAGTATTTGCTGTTGTGAAAGAAGTAGTAATAGCAGCTATTAGAAGTCAAAGCACTAGTTTTAGTACAAGTATCATTAGTGGTAAAGGTATTAGTTTCAGCAGTAACAGCAAGGGACAAAAAGACCCCAAAAAATATATTTTTTTGTTATTATTTCCAAGCACGGCCGTTCCACACTGATATGAATATGTCACAAATATGACTGCGTGCCGTGTCACTCACTGCATCGGGGCAGAGAGCACCAGAGTAACTTACACCCCCCTAGGGAAAACACTGCATGCATAACGCTGATATATTACAAAAATAAGGCTGCAGGTTATCGCTAACCGGCGGGAATAATCTTTTGCCCGCTCCTTATCACAGAACAATGTTGGCTGGTGAGGTTCTTGTTATTCCAGTCGACTGGACATGACTGTCCCCTCCAGGCCCCGGTCACTCACACAACACAAAGGGTTGTTTAACCTCCACTACTGGGTACAGTCTGCAAAAATGATAAAGGGCAGAGGAGAAACACACGGAGAGGGCATCCCAACAAAAACAAAAAAGCGAAACGTGATTGAGAGACACAAGAGAGGGAAGGAAAATGACGAGTAAGAGAGCGGTTATCCGCCAGATGTTTTGTGTAGATAAGTGGCTCTTTAATGCGTCCGATTGAGATCAGTTGGCACATTGACCTTGTTGTGGTGTAGAGCAGCGGTTCTCAAACTTTTTAGCCCACGCACCCCCTTCTGCATCGCGACCTCGTTCATGCAGCGCCAAACCCCGTCAATTAAAAAAAAAAGAAAGAAAAGAAACAGACCCTATTCATAGCTGCAATAAATAATAAAAATTTCATTGGTCCAATTTTATAAGAGAAACAGTTTGCTATCTAATATTTAGATGGTTGTTGAATTTTGCAGGGGGCAACTGCAACATATAGGGCATATGCAAAGGCTCAGATTGCATCACATTTAATTTACAATTAACCATACATAGCGGTTACATTAATTACTTGATTGAGCACTCAGGCTGCAGAGAGAGAGAGAGAACGTTAGCCAGTCATCCTAGGTGACTCCCCCGTCACCACTGTGGATTCCTTCCGTTTCCTGGGCTCCATCATCACCCATGACCTCTGAACATCAGCTCCATCACCAATAAGGCTCAGCAGAGGTTGTTCTTCCTGAGGCAGCTGTAGAAATTCAATTCCAGTCCCATTTTTGTAATTGTCAAACAAGTTTTTCCCACCTATGGGAAAAACAGCACTACGCAAATGTCCTCTG